CTCAAATGCAAGATTCCGAGATGACAAAGAGAGAAAAGGAAAAGGCCAAAAAGGGGCTGGGTCAGAACATTACCAATACAGACCAAAATTGGCACACAGAGCCCCCATCACCCACTCTACATCCTACTGCAGTTTGGGGGAGGATGAACCATGGATGATGGGACTTGCAGTACCACCACTCACATTCTGAGACCGCTGTTAACCTTATCCAATGACTGATCAGGACCAAACTTCGCACAGAGACCTCTCATGACCCACTTTACGTCCTGGTGTGGTTTTGCCAGGGATGGACCTTGGATTATGAGAATAGCAGTACCATTGCTCAATTCTTCAGACCACTGCAACCCTCATCCAATTACCAATAATTACCAAACTTGGCACACTGAGACTCCATGATGCACTCTACATCCAGGTGCAGTTTGAAGGAGGATGCACCATGGACGATGGGACTTCCAATACCTGCACTCCCTTCCTAAGATCATTACAACTGCCAACAATGATGGATCAGGACCACAATTTACACAGAGACCCAGCATGACCCACTCTACATCCTGGTGCCGTTTGGAAGAATTTGACAATGGATGATGGGACTTGCAGTCACTTCACTCACTTCCTGAGATCACAGAGAACCTCGCCAATGACTAATCAAGACTAAACTTGGCACATGGAGCTCCAATGACCCACTCTCCATCCTGGTGCAGTTTGGAGGACGACAGACCATGGATGATGGGACTTCAAGTACCTCCACTCCCCAAGACTGCTGCAAAACTCATCTAATGACCAATCAAGACCAAAGTTGGCACACAGAGCCCCCATGACCCACTCTACATCCTGCTGCAGTTTTTGAGGAGGGTTGACCATGGATGATGGAACTTCCAGTACCTTCACTCACATTCTGAGACCTCTGCAAACCTCATCCAATGACGGATCAAGACCAAACTTGGCACATAGACCTCTCATAACCTACTTTATGTCCTGGTGTTGTTTGGAAAAATTTGGAGATGTATGTTGGGACTTGCAGTACCTTTGCTCACTTTCTGAGACCACTGAGACCCTCGCCAATGACTAATCAAGACTACACTTGGCACATGGAGCTCCAATGACCCACTCTACATCCTGGTGCAGTTTGGAGGAGGACAGACCATGGATGATGGGACTTCAAGTACCTCCACTCCCTTTCGAAGATTGCTGCAACCCTCTTCTAATGACCAATCAAGACCAAACTTGGCACACAGAGCACCCATGATGCACTCTACATCCTGCTGCAGTTTGAAAGAGGATGGACTTTGGATGATGGGACTTGCAGTACCTTCACTCACT